AATGACAAGAGCAAGATGTGGCAGGCGAACTTGCGCCTTGTCACCAAGTTCAGCACTGTGGAGGACTTCTGGGCGTGAGTGTCTCATGGGTGGGCAATGTGCCCCCTCTGGAGACTCCCTGGTGGGGGTGTCTGGGTCAGAGGAGGGTGCTAGGCGTCCCTGAGACACCACTTCTCACCTGCTTCTGTGTCGTCTCTGGTGGTGCAGGCTGTACAACCACATCCAGCTTGCCAGCAAGCTCACATCTGGCTGTGATTACTCCCTCTTCAAGGTGAGACAGCCCCTCTGCTGCAGTCCTCCCTCAGAGCCCCTTGCAGCACCCACCCAGGGGCACACTGGGTGCTGGTGGGGCTGGCAGGGCTGGAGCCGGAGGGCGGGAGGTGTGGGGGGTGCGTGGGGTGCTGAGACCCCCCCAGTCCAACGCACCATTAATGGTCTCTCCTCCCCAGCAGTGGCAGGATGAAGTGGGTGAGGACCAGGGACTGCCCCCTCGACACTCTCCTCTGCCTGGCATGACCCCCCCCATAGCCCCCACCTGGCTCTGGGGCCGAGCCCCTGCCAGGCCACACTGTCCCTGTCCCCTCACCCCATGGTAGGTGCAGCAAGGGGGCTGTGGGGTGCCCTGCGCCCCGCCATGTGAGGAGGCCGAGGGTACGTGGGGGGGGTGGTGGCAGAGGCTGCCGTGGCTCATTGCCATTCGCATGCAGCTGCCGTGGGATTCCACTGGGTCAGAAAAGTAACAGGGGCCATTTATCTCTATGGGTTTATGGGCTCCCCGCAGCCCAGCCTGGCCGGGGGGCTGGCAGTGCCCACCCAGAGCCCACACTTTGGGGACATGATAGCTTCCGTCCTCGGGTCTTGCACCCCACAGTCTCTACCTGAGGGGCGGAGGGTGCTGGGAGGTGGGGGGCAGTCGGTGACCCCCTGGGTGGCCACAGCAGTTGCCAGGAGCCACCCAGAAAGCAGAGCATGACCAGGGCTGCCCCCAGCGTGTCTCATGCTGGGCAGCTGTCCCAGCTGGCAGCCGAGCTGGCAGCCCTGTCAATAATCATAATTAAAAATTAATACTAATCAAAAGGGAGAGGCAGATGGCAGCAGACATGCGGCAGGGCTGCAGGTGGGGACGGAGGGCACTGGCAACAGGGGGGGACAGCAAGGACGGGAGGGTCTCAGCACCCCACACTGAGGGGGGGGCAGTGTGCAGTGGGGACCTGTATCTCCTGATATGGGTCAGGGTGCTGTGGGAATCAGGGGGATGGGGGGGTGCAGAGTAAGGGACTCACGTGGTGCAGCAGGGATAGGGAATATGGGGCTGGGGTTGCTGTGGGGCACAGTGGGGACGGGGACAGCAGCACGGAGCTGGGCTGGCGCAGGGATGGAGACCCGATTCCCCCTCTCCAGGCGGTGCAGGTCAGTGGTGCTGGGTGCTGGTGCAGGGTCACCTTGCCAGTGGCTGGCGTGCGGCCAGGGCCAGGCGCTGCTGGCCCGCACCTCAGCTCGGCAGGCTGCCAGCCTGGCCTCTCCCTGCGCCACCAGCTCTGACGGCTCCGGCAGCGAGGACGGATTCTGCCTCCTGCCCCCCCAGCACGCAGCTGGTACCAGGATGGGTACAGGCACCCATCCCATTGCAACCAGTGGGTGCTGCAGGATTAAAATCCCCCAGAGTAACTGGGGAAGGAGCTGCTGGCTCTGTGGAAGGGTGCGTGGGCCAGGGAAGAACAGGCAGCGCTGGCTCACCGTGGGAGTGGGCAGGCAGCACGGCTGCTGGCGCTGGGGCTGTGCCACAGTGTTCCCGTGGTGCCTGCACCCACCTCCCTGCCCCATCACTTGCCTGGGGGCCACGGGGATGTTCTGGGCCCTGGCAGGGGGGACATGGGCATGCAGAGGACCTCCATCCCTGGGTACTGCCAGCATCCCTGGGGGGACAAGTCCCCACGAGGTGCCTGGTGCCCACCCTGCTGGCCCCTGGCGAGGGCCCAGGCTGAGCTCACCCCCCATCCAGAATCACCATGGCATGCGAGGAGGGGTACCCAGGCTGAGGGGTACCTACAGCACACTGTTCCCATGACAACCTCCCCAGAGACAGCAGCCAGTGTGGGAGATGTGGGAGGCGAGGGGCCCACAGACCCCTCCACGCTTGGGCTCCTGCGCCTGGCAGGACACAGCGGGGTGCAGCAGAGGGGCTGCACCCATGGGTCTTGCTCCTGACCTCAGGCTCTGCCTGCCCCATCCTGTTCCCTGCCTGCTGTCCCTGCATGGCAGTGCCTGTGCTGGGCTGCTGCCCTCCAGCAGCTGGTTTGCACGGGGCGGGGGTTGCAGAGGGTTGGCATGGAGGGGTCTGTGTGGAGGGGAAGGAGTTAAGTAACTGCAGGGCTGTCCCCAGTGCCAGAAGCAGAGGAGGGGGAGAGAGGGCCAGTATCCCCTGCCCTGCGCCTCAGGGAACCTGTACCTGAGAAGGGTCCCTTGCTGTCACTTCTCATCTGGGTAGCAACCAGGCTCCTGCAACACGGCTGAGCACTCTCCTTCCCCGCAGGGACGTGCTGGCACTTCCCGCTCGGCAGAGGCAGGGGGGGAGCAGCCGGGTGGCATGGGGACAGGGATGGGAACGGGGACAGGGACAGGAGCTGTGTGGCCACAGACCTGCAGGCATCAGACCTGCAGGCATGGCTGCAGCACGGTGCTGCGGCAGGCTGCAGGCAGTGCCCTGCTGCAGGCAAAGCTGTCCCTGCCACCGTATGTTCCCTTGGCCACTACCCCTTTAGGATTTGCTCTGCTGGCCCCATGCCATGGCCTGGGTGGCCCCTGGCTGACTGGAATGTGCTCACAGGGCCTTGTCCCCACCAGGGGCCATACCCATGCTGTCCCCAAGCCTCCAGCATGGGCACAGTGAAGCCCCTGCCCACAGCCCCATCCCTTGGCTCCCCCAACATATACCACCAGCTCCAAGGGACCAACAGCTGGGAAAAGGGGGGGGGTCCATTAGCACCCCCACATCCTCCTTGAGTGGCACAGGGACCAGCCACTCTCCTGGCTCTGTGAAGAGCAGCTGCCAGCCCTGGGGCTGTTGGGGCACAGGGTACTTGGTGGGCAGTGCCACCTGTCCCTGTCCTTTCCCTCCTGGCCCTGTCTGCCCTCGTGTCCCCTTGCAAGGGGCTGGTGATGCTGCAGCCCACAGCTAGCCCCTGCCTGCACCCAGCCAGGGGGCTGCCAGGCTCTCTGCCAGACTCCCTGCCTGCCCACCCCAGCGACACATCTCTAGCTGGGAGGGCTGGTGTTTCCCAGGCGGTCGATGCGCCCATCGATCCCGCACAGCTCCGTCAGCTGCTCTCCCACCACCCTGCTAATTAATTGTCTGCTGCTGCTGCAGAAGCTCCAGGCACTCGGGGTGCCTGCACCCTGCCCTGCCTGCGAGCTCACAGCCCTTGCCCCACATACAACCTGGAGGCCCTGTGGGAGCTGGCACCCACCTCAGACCCACGCCTGACCCACCTGTGCCACAGAGAAGGGGTCTGTGTCAGGCTGGGGAGGGGGCTGGCAGGCCCTGGGCTGGGGTGAGGTGCACAAGGGGCTGAAGGTGAGGTGGGGGGCAGCACATGGCCACTTTCAGCCCTGCCATCTGCCCATGTCCAGAATACCCTCCCTCTGCTCACAGCCGTGCCCTCCTCAGCCTGTGCCAGCCCCCAGCCAGGCATGGGGACAGGGACAGGGACCCTGCCTTTGTGCTGGGCTGTAATGAGATTTCTGCTTGGCTGCCTGGATAGAAAATCCCAGCCAGAGGATGCGAAAAGCTTCTCCAAGCCCCGGCAGCCTCCTGCCCCACCCCGGGACATATGGAGATGCCCCCACCCCAGCACCCACAGTGCTGCTGGGGAGGCATCGACACCAGCTCTGTCTGGGACCACCCGCTGCACTGGCTGGCATGGGGTGCCCATGGGATGTGCAGGCCAGCGGCTTCGCTACCTATTCACCCCACTCCCCCTGTCCCAGCCCCATGCTGCCACTGGTGCAGCCACCCCACGCCCGGGCTGGGGGTGTCCGGCACACCCGTGAGAACGTGCATGCCACCACTGACACTGCCCGGTGAGGCAGCGCGGCAGGGTGTCCACAGGACCTGTGTGTGCAGGGTGGCACCATGCTGTGCCCCAGCCCCTCCAGCCACCCTGGCTTTCCCCTATGGCAGCAGCAAATCCATCTCCTTAAAAAGTGGGGAGCAGGCACTGGCGGCTGTGAGAAGT